CCACTCCCAGATATTCTGATTCAGTAAATATGGAGTGGGACCCAGGAGTCACTATTTTATAAGTCTTAAGGTGATTCTGATACGAAACCAGGTTAGGTGACCACTGCTCTGCTTCATCCGCTAGTATGACTAACCAAGGGCATAAGCAATTGGACTGATTCCTTGTAGGCTAATTTCTGTTAGGGACAGAAAGAAAGCACCTTCTTTTGTTTGCAGTATAGACCAGCGATCTCCACTGGGGATCTCCCAAGGTCCACAGTCAGACAAGTAAAATAATTCAAAGGGGTTTCAGGCGCCACATGCCACTTACTTGTCTTGAGCATGAGCCAAGCTAAATGAGTCTATACAAAGTAGGTGTTCTCTAATGTTTTGTTGCTATTGATGTTTGTTGACAAAGTCTGATTCAGAAATTTGCAGAAAATACTTCATTCAACCTAATACCTTAGACTTACTTCTACCACCTGTCAACTTTGTCTCAGCCTTTACATCCTTCCCTTCCATTTTGCTCAATCTCAAAATGTCTTCACCCAGTGTAGTAGAGTCAAGTTCAATAAGTGGTAGTTATAATTATTAATACTTTCCACTAGAATGTAAACTCCATGAGGACAAAGACTATTATGTGTCAGACCAGTTCCTGGTGTAGTGACTGGCACACAATATTTGCTGGAATTCAAGGAAGGTTTACATACAGCAAAGCCTCAGTCTCCAGGGAGCTTTACCATGGGAGTCAGTAACTATTTGTGAAATGAATGACTGAATGGCATGACAAATGGAATGACTGAATGGAGTGCACTTTCAGAGTTCAAGACTAACCCTGCTATATGGAGGTTGAACCCACTCTGGAGATTCAGGAAAGGCATAGAATCTCAACAAGAAGAAAGTGAGGAGAGTGGGCAGTGAGGGCTAAAGACTAGAGGTACCCATAAGTCATGGAATGGTGGGTAATCTAGTGTGGTTGGAGTCTGGCATGAATTAAAAAAAAGGGAGGGGAGAAAATGGTGCTAGACATGCTATGAATGCCTCAGAAACAGGCACCAGGTCTTTTTGTGTCTTTGATATTAAGTACAGAGCCTGGCACATAGAAGTTCTTAGTAAATATTTACTGGTCCCAAAACATAAAGAACCAACTTTGCTTGGCTGGGGAGTTAAAACTTGAGAGTCAAAAAGAGAATCATTGGAAGTTTATAAAGCAGAGAAGTATTGTGATTAAAATTGTATTTCAGAGCTGTAATTGATAGGATCATTTGGAAGGAGAAGAGACAGGAAGCCACAGGCACCTCAAACCTGATCTGGCTCCTAATTCCCAATCTCTGTTAAAATGATTACCATCCTTTCCTTCAGTCAAGTAAAAAATGTGAGCATCATTTTTGCTGCTTCTTTTTCCCTCACTACCCACCTGGTTGAGCAACCCCTTTGTCTTCATCTTCAGTCAGTGCTGTATTTCAGATCATCGACATTTTTTTTACCTGGTTCATTGGTTTTCTTACCTCTTATCTTTCCAAACCGCAGTATTTTTTTTATACTGTTGCCACAATTTTCTTTCTAAAATGTTGATCTGTGTTAGTCTCCCACTCAAAATCCTCAGTGGTTCTCCTGTATATCTAAAATAAAGCCTATACTTCTCAGCATGGCATTTAATAACTCTGTGAAGTAGGTATTAATTCCATTTTGCAGATAAAGAAATTGAAGCGCATAAAGGGAAAACAATTTGCTTAGGATCACACAGGTATGGAATGGTAGACTAGAGTCCAGGTCTCATGATGCCAGTGTACTAGCCATTATAAAATTCCTTCTAAAGAGGGGAGAAATAGTAGGTACTGTATGTGTTGCTAGAATGGTGGGATGGAAAAAACAAGATCCTGTCTCCTGGGTGGGGTACATACTTTGCAGCTTGCATAAATGAGCAATACCTCTTAATGGCTTTGTAGACTTCATACAACTGGCAACCTTTCAGAGCCTCTGTTTCCTCACTTATAAGACAGGGACAAATTATCCCGACTTTATAGGGTTGTTATGAAGATTATGTAAGATCATGTATGTAAATAGGGTTAAGTTCACAGGAGATCTTCAGTGGGTGTTATCACCCACCCTCACCCTCACTCCAGCAATCTAAAAATCCATTTAAACAACGAGGGAAATGGAATTTAGACATTAAGGGTCTGTGATGGGTCACAAGACTTCAGGGTCTATTCCGGTGCTGGGGTTGGAAATAACCCTTTTCAGGGTCTTAATCAAGTTCCCTGCAAAGGGAAACCAAAGTTATGCTCCTCTGAAGCAACAGCTGGTCATATGTAGGGTGAGACTGCTGACTAAAAAGTAAGTCTTCAGCGCCAGTGCCCATAATGTTCATGGTTTTTCACTCCTCATGGTTGAAGCATTGTGGATTTTTATTAAAATGCAAACATTTCCTGGGAGAGGCAGCATACATATTAACTTTTTGGCCTGATTAGCTCTCACTTACCTTTTTCTCAGAGCCCTTCCATGCCTCTGCTTTGTTACTCTCAGACAGGGTCACCCACCCCCATCCCCAGCCTGTTAAAATCCTTCTCAGCATTTTAGGCCCATCTAGGCCACCACCTCCTCCAGAAGCCTACTGTGGTAGCTCAGACAGATCCTGCCTTCCCTCCTCTGTTCGTCTCCCCTGGAGCACCAGGCCCCAGGCTCCCATGGTAAAGCTCCCTGGAGACTGAGGCTTTGCTGTATGTAAACCTTCCTTGAATTCCAGCTTGTACTTGACTTGTCCCATGACAATGTCTTGACCTCCTTGAGCCTCAGGTTTTGTGCTTGGAAAAGCAGGTGATTATAATATAGTAGTTATATTGGGGTAATAGAGGACATGATTTGTTTGCTTAAGCAATGCCTGTTCTGCTGACTGGCATGGCCCCTGTGATTTGTGAATTAGGCTGATTCCTCTCATGCCACAGCAAGCTGCTGGGGACACCTCTATCCTCGCGGCCAGCTCAGCCCACCCTCAGGTGCTTAATGACTCTATGTTCATGGGCCTGTGGTGCAGCACTGAGCTGCATTTTCACTGGCCACGCAGTCTTTTCACTCAGCAAGAAGGTTAATGAGATGCCGGGTAGATGCTTGGTGCTTGCCAGCCCACTGGTGGGGAGAGGAGTAGCTTGGTAACCATACTGCGCGCGACCTCATGATTAGTACATTAGAAGCGCGGGCCCTTAGGTGAGGGAGAGCTTTCGGGATTACTGGGCCAGCCCCCAGGGTTGAGGCTGAGTACAGCAATGTACTCCGAAAGGCAGCATGGCCAGGGCAGATCACTCCTCCCGCCTCGCAAGACCCGCGCACTCTTTGGGGAGCAAAATCTCCCTTACTCTCGTGGGGCTGGGGCCTTAGTCTGGGACCTTCAGGGGACGCCCACGTCGGTTTGCCCGAGGTGGGCGGAAGGGGCCATGGGTGCTGGAAAGACATCCCTCCACTAGGTACTCCCGAACGCCTGAAAAGCGGCGACCGAAGCCCAAGCGATTAACCCAGCCGCTATGTCGGAAGCCGGGAGTCTCCAGCTCAAACTGGCGGCTGGACCGGGCCCCGACTCCTAGTTCCCCAATGAGAGACAGAGAGCCAGGAGGAGCTGGAGCTGAGCTCCAGCTCCCGCGCCGCCCAGGCCCGGGCCCGGCCCCCTCCGGTGCCAGTGCACCTCCCTCCTTTCCTGGCCCGGCCCCTGGCCCAGACTCGGCCGTTTACCGTTCCTCTGGGCTCCAGGTTGGAGCAAACAAAGCCCTGATTGACTGCCTGTAGGGGCGGGCTTCGCTGTCGGGCCGCCGCCTCCTCTCAGCGCGCCACCAAGGATTTGCCGGGAAGGGCGGGGGCGGAGAGGAAGAGAGTGACAGAGGAGGTGCTCAGTCATGTGGGGTCTGAGCCCCAGGACTTGAGAAGATTGTGCCCACCTTCTGTCTGAAGCCTGAGCTATACCGTTCGGGTCTCTGCCTTCAAGTTCAAGGGGGCTGGGGGCAAAGGGACTCCTGAGGGCAGGGTGGGGTCTGTAACGGGCCAGGTCTCCTTCTGGGGTCCCCAGGGCAACCCGAGTTCCAGGCTCTTTGTGAGGTAGAAGGGAGAGGGAGCAAAGGACAGGCGGGATCTTCTGCTGGTATTCGGGGTTGATCAACGCCCTTTTGGATCTTGCGGGGGAGGAGAGGGCAAGGGAACAAGATAGTTTGGGTTCTTGTTTTTTCCATTTTAACTTTCCCACTCCTGCGCATATGGACAAGGAGCATAGAATTCAGTAGTTTGGAAAGGGAGTGAGGCAGCGGTGGGTAGAGTAGGCAGGCGGGTATGAAGAGGAGGAAGGGCTGGGGAGAAGAGCGAGGCTGTAGCAGCTGCCTGTTGAGGGAGGAAGAGGTGGGAGGTAGAGGAGGAGGAGGAGAGAGATGACATGGGGAAAGGAGGAGGGGGGTTGGATGGAGGAGGAGGAGGAGAAGGCTCGAGGGACCGTCTGTCGCGGGACAGGCTGGTCAGCTGGGGCGCGGAGCCGGGAGGAGGAGGCAGAGGCAGCAGCAGCGCTTTGGAGCAGCAGCAGCAGCAGCAGCAGCAGCAGCAGCAGCAGCAGCAGCAGCAGCAG